GTATCTGTATTACGTTAATTTTGACTAAAATTATCAACTTGTAGTGAATGGTTCGTATCCCCAATGTGGTCACAACATCAGCACTGAAAGTCGTATTACAAAATTTGCCATTAATTTGGACACAACTGGAAACATCTTTGACCAAATAAGAAATCACTGAACTGCATATCAGAGGAGCTAGATATTTATAATTTTATAACGCTTTTGGCTGTATCTGTCTCAGTAAATAGCAGTGTGTGAACAACTCCTTCACATTAAAAAAAAAAAAAAAAAAAAAAAGAAGGCCCCCACATACTTTGAGAATAACAAGAAATTATAAAAGGTAAAAATGCTGTAATTAAGTATTTATGAAGTATGCTTTAGAAAACTTTGCATTATATTCCATTATCATTTAAAATTTTATAAAAGGTACAAGACATTAGCAATTTTATTTAATTTACTGCAATATTAGATATGAGAAGTATGTATCAGAGCAACAGGAGTATAGCTTGCAAATGGACGAGTAGAAGGAAGAGCAAAATGGTGTGTGAAACTGGAGAAAATCTGAAAGCAAGTCTTAACAAATGCAGTACAGAACTTTACTGATTCCAAAACAGAATAATCTGCAACTCTGTGCAACACACAAAGTTCCACTTGTTTAAAATAATATAATAAAATATTTGCATAACCCTTTCAAAACTAGTCAGCAACCAAGCAAAATGTTATGAAAATTTAAATGTAAAAATAGAATGCCATAGAGTAAAGTATATTACTTTATTCACACATGAAAAGTTTCAGCAATAAATACACTTAACACCTATACCGGTCCTTTTATTGGAGAAACCATGCCACTGAAAGACTTTTGACAAGAAAAAATTTCAAAAGAAGGTTGTTTTTACGCTACATGTCCTCAGAGAAATTATCAAATAAAGTACAGTGGACCCCCGGTTTACGATATTATTTCATTCCAGAAGTATGTTCAGGTGCCAGTACTGACCGAATTTGTTCCCATAAGGAATATTGTGAATTAGATTAGTCCATTTCAGACCCCCAAACATACACATACAAACGCACTTACATAAATACACTTACATAATTGGTCGCATTGGGAGCTGATCGTAAACCAGGGGTCCACTGTATTTTCAAGACTTATCAGCCTTGAAACAATAACAGAACGTGAACTGTCACTAAATTACTAGATAAAATATAAACAATATTTTTTAACAAGTATATGAGTAAGACAGATTGAGAAAGATGCACCTAACATGAGCAAAGAGTTCTACTGAAGTGCTACTCTATTCTTATGAATGATGCAAAGACAAATTTTAATACAGGAGTGCCTTGCATATACAGGTCCCTCTCTTCGGTGCTCCACATTTTCTTTGACATTCAACTGAGCCATTGTTCATTGTTCACCGCTTTTCTGCCATTATTGCCATTTTCAAACAACAGTTGCGTAAGGGAAGGACGACCAGCGCGCTATTTTGAGGTAAGTATTATATGTACAGTAGAACCCCCGTATCCATGGATTCAGTATCGATGATTTCAGTTATCCACTGTTTACTGTGGCACAAAAATAACTTAATTTTGCTTAATAATGGCCTCAAAATGCAGTAATAGTGATGGTGGTGGTTCTTCAATGCCCAAGGGAAGCTGTGAAATGCTTCCCACCTGTGAAGAGCTAATTATAGACTAATCTTGCATAATTCATCAATTAAACTTTATCATAGGTTTTTTTTTTTTTAAGCAAGTCGGCCGTCTCCCACCGAGGCAGGGTGACCCAAAAAGAAAGAAAATCCCAAAAAGAAAATACTTTCATCATCATTCAACACTTTCACCTCACTCACACATAATCACTGTTTTTGCAGAGGTGCTCAGAACACAACTGTTTAGAAGCATATACAGTGGAACCTCAAAAATCGAACGCATCACATATCAAACGTTTCGAAAATAGGACCATTTTTTCGGACAAACTGTGTCCCTATTATCGAACGCGCCCCTATTTTCGGACCGCCGGGTACGGGACCTGTCTGCCGGCCCGCTCTGTCCGCGTCCCCGTGCAAGCGCCGTGAGCAGTCTAGCTTTGTTTATGCTTGAGTGAACACTAATCTGTGCTCTCATTCACGCATTTTACGATTATTTCGTTGTGTTTAGTGCTTGTGGGACTGTGAAATAAGCTGCCATGGGCCCAAAGAAACTTGCTAGTGGTACCCCTGTGGTAAAGAAAGTGAGAAACACCATAGATGTGAAGAAGGAAATAATACAGAAGTATGAGAGTGGTGTGAGACTTGTTGAGCTTGCCAGGATGTATGGAAAAAACAAGTCGACCATCGGTTCTATCCTGTCAAAGAAAGAACAAATCAAGGAAGCTGATGTTGCGAAAGGTGTTAATATAGGGAGTGGATGAGGTGCCTTCTTCAAAGATTAAGGAGATTTGTGCCAAGTGGAATGATGTCCAAATGTTTGTGCAGAAGTACCACCCTGAGCAAGCTGAAACAAGCCATCTTTGCAACAAGTTCAGTGACAGAACCATGTCCCATTTTAGGGAAATGTTAAAGAGGCGCCAGAAACAGAGGACTGTGGATAGTTATTTTGTGAGACAGGGGTCCAGTGACTCTTAAGCTGGTCCTAGTGGCATTAAAAGACAGAGAAGGGAAGTAGCCCCAGAGAGGGCTTTACCTGAAGTCCTCATGGAGGGGGATTCTCCTTCCAAACACTAACCCCAACTCCCTCTCTCCTCCTCCCTATCTTCCAGATGCCATCACCAATCTTCAATAAAGGTAAGTAAAAACGTTATTTTATATGTATTACTATACATAATTACAAACTAAAGTATTTGTTGTATGTAAAACTGTAATTAATCTCTATAAAATGTATTTTTTGTGTGAATATATTTGGGTTTCTGGAACGGATTAATTGTATTTCCATTATTTCTTATGGGAAATACTGCTTCGAATTTCAGACTTTTCGAATTTAGAACTAGCTCCTGGAACGGATTAAGTTCGATTTTTGAGGTTCCACTGTATGTATAAAGATACACAACATATCCCTCCAACCTGCTAATATCCCAAACCCCTCCTTTAGAGTGCAGGCATTGTACTTCCTATTTCCAGGACTCAAGTCCGGTTTCCCTGAATCCCTTCACTAAATATTACCCTGCTCACACTCCTGTTCAACAGATTGTCATAGGTATACATATGTAAACAAAAAATTACATATACAGGGTTCACTATTATCCATGGTTTCAGGTATCCACAGTAGGTTTTGGAATGTATCCCCCACAGATAAGGAGGGACTACTGTATTTATCTTTTTTTTATGACTTGCTGTACTGAGCACTTAATATATGAGAATGTAAACACATTATCAGGCATTTTAGATGCATCTGATAATGAAAGAAATGGCTCTTTTCCACCCGCCGATGATTTTCGCTTATTGTTTGGGGTCACAAACCTCAGAGCCATACAAACGGGGCCCTCTTGTACAGTAAAAAAAATAATTGAAGAGTAATTGAAATGGTTAGCAAATACGAACACACTTTAAAAAATTAACTGATGATAATCCAAGACTCCTACCCAGTAAGTTTGTGCTAGAAAACAAAATAATTTAATTTTTGAACATAAGAAATAAAGTTGCTGGTAAATGCAGCTTCATTAAAGAAAATTAGAGCTGACAAAATCTAAAATTATTTTATGATAAAAGTCTTTCAAGGGTAAATTTTTATTTTATTAATTTATTTTATTAACACATCGACCGATTCCCACCAAGGCAGGGTGACCCGAAAAAGAAAAACTTTCATCATCATTCACTCCCATCACTGTCTTGCTAGTGGGGCGCTTACACTACAGTTATGAAACTGCAACATTAACACCCTTCAGAGTGCACACTATACTTCCCATCTCCAGGAATCAAGTCCAGCCTGCCAGTTTCCCTGAATCCCTTCATAAATGTAACTTTGCTCACACTCCAACAGCACATCAAGTATTAAAAACCATTTGTCTCCACTCACTCCTATCAAATATGCTCACACATGCTTGCTGGAAGTTCAAGCCCCTCGTACACAAAACCTCCTTTACCCCCTCCCTCCAACCTTTCCTAGGCCGACCCCTACCTCGCCTTCCCTCCACTACAGATTTATACACTCTCGAAATCATTCTGTTTCGTTCCATTCTCTCTACATGTCTGAAAAACCTCAACAACCCCTCCTCAGCCCTATGGATAATAGTTTTGGTAATCCCGCTCCTCATCCTAATTTCCAAACTACGAATTCTCTGCATTATATTCACGCAACACATTGCCCTCAGACATGATGTCTCCACTACCTCCAGCCTTCTTGTTGTTGCAATATTCACCACCCATGCTTCACACCCATATAAGAGTGTTGGTAAAACTATACTCTGATACATTCCCCTCTTTGCTTCCACGGACAAAGTTCTTTGTCTCCACAGACTCCTAAGTGAACCACTCACCCTTTATCCCTCATCAATTCTACAAGTAACCTCATCCTTCACAGACCCTTCTGCTGACACGTCCACTACTAAATATCTGAATACATTCACCTCCTCCATACTCTCTTCCTCCAATCTGATATCAAATCTTTAGTCACCTAATCTTCTTGATATCCTGATCACTGCTAATAAATCAGATTTTATAAATAACTAGTGGCAAGGTTGACAATAATAGTTTAAAGCCTTCATTTGTCATAAAAAAAAACACTTAAAAGGACAAAAAAAAATTACTCATGCTGCCAGCAATAAGAGAAAAATGCAAGAAAATCATTCAGAAAAATGGCAAAAAGATAACTGACATAGCAAAAGGGGAAAGGCATAGAAAAATAACTGGAAAAGAATGTACACATGGAGCCGGTTCTATGTACATAATTTTGCCTGCTCTGTATTCTGCTTGTATTTGATGAGGAAACATTGGCCAATCAGAAGCCAGTATTATTACACAGCATAACTCACTTCTGGATGTATAATAAGAAATATAATGCTCATACCATCATAAATGCTCCTTACTTACCTACAAGGAAGTCTTCAACACCACTCTTTGCTAGGTTTGAGAAGCGGTTGAAGCTCTTTCTGACTGTTCCTCGACCATCCCGACCTGTTATCCATCACCCACCAAACACAAAATAACTATAATCAACTTAAATGATCCTCAAGCAGTATTTCTCCGAGTCTCATCATCAATTCTTGCTTTTACAAAAGAAAATTAGACGGATTTTGTTTGAGGGTCATTTTTTTGTTTGTACAACTATTACTGGTGGACTGGATTAATTAGACAATGCATGAGATAAGGTTCATAGCCTTAAATGTCATGTTCACAAGATGTATCATGTCAACAGTCTAAAAAGAAAAATATGAGGTAATTAACTAAGGCATTAGTGAAGACAATAGGATGAAGAAAAGCCTCCAGATGGTGATAATACTGTTGGTAGACTAGAGAGTTATGGCTCATTACAGGATGGAGGGTAACATAATTTTCAAGTAAAGGCAACATAAGTATGACGTTTTTTTGACAAACTGACCATATTATTATTATTATTATTATTATTATTATTATTATTATTATTATTATTATTATTATTATTATTATTATTATTATTATTATGGCCAGTCAGGCTGTTGGTGACTGCCAATACTGTGTTCTAAACTAGTTTAAGTAAACTACCAAACTCGTATACATGTAGTGGTATGAAAATGACTGCAAGGAATACAAAAGGAGTTTACACGAGACACTGCCAATAATAAAAGCAAACAACCTCCAAATTTTGGTAAGCAATACTTCAATGTTAATTTTAATTTTTTTTAGATTTTATATAAATAAATACTATACTGTATAGTTTACAGGCATTTTTTACCATAATTAAGGTGTTCAGTTTGCACTTGGAACTGTCACTGCCTCGTATAAATAACCAAAGTAGGATGTTGCTTTAAAATGATGACATTATGTTATGAACAATTCAACTTATCCTTTGTTACCTTTGAAAAAGTGGCAGCAATAAGGATCTTGCCAAACTCTTCAGCAAAACTTTAAATGCAAAGAAGCTTTGAACTGTCACACACAAAGCAATAAGCAGTTGCTCTTACACAGTGTGAAAATCTGAGGATTCCCTCAAAAAATATGCAGTAGTAGTATATGAATAAAAGTAAAACCCAAGAGCAGGAAAAAAGGCAAAAAACTTGAGGTATTCTTGACTAGACAGTAGAAATAATAAATACATGAATTAGAAAGAACAATTACACAAGAGGTCAGTGTAAAAATGGAAGAGCCTCAAACACCTAGATAATATAGTACAGTCCTTAATCTAGACAGAAGTTGACAGTTCTCAGTAAACAGCTTCAATGTGAGCTCAAAAGTCCTCTGCTATCTTTATGTACTCCCATATACATATAGCTATTTAAAAAATTAACAGACACTGCAGGGTGACAGAAACTATAAAAGAGATGGTGTTAGGAAGAAATTACTGTCTCAGGAAACACAGAATGTAGCAAAGGGAAGGTGATAGAGTAATATTATTAGAAGAAATTTAAACTAACAAATATAGCAGAATCTTGGCATTCACAAAGATTATGTTCCTAGTAGTGTCTGCAAATTCCAAAGCCACATATACCCCTAAACTGGCTTAATGTTATAAAAGAATAATATCGAGTGGGTCATCATCCAAGGGTTCCATCCACAGCAAGGTAGCAAGCACATATGAATTGTAGCTTTAGAATATGAAAGAAAAATACAATTTACTGTATAAATGACAGTATCGTACACATGAGCAAGAAGACAGGCGAATGTGTTAGTGAGTGAGAGAGGGGGCAGCAGAAGAGGATGAAAAAGGGCGAGAGAGGGGCAAGCAACAATGCTGCAAGTACAAATAAAATACCTGTCAAGACCTCAACTGTCATGATGGTATCCAATTCAAGAATAAAAGGGAGGGAAGATGAGAAGGAGAATAGAGTTAGAAAGGAGAGGGGAGGATAAGGAAAAAGGGTAAGGGGAAGGGGAGGATAAATGAGATAAGGACAATGGAACAGAGGGAAAGTAGGGAGGGAAGGGAAAAGGAGAAGTAGAAAGGGATATGGAGGATGAGGAGGAGGTAGGTGACTGGGAGCAAATGAGGAAGAGGAAGTGGTCAGAGTCCATCACACATGTTCAAACAGGCAAGCATAAAGGAAGGAATCAGCAGTGGGATGACTGTCACATAAGGTGACATCTTGACAGTTGAGGTTTCAACACACTTCTTCCTTCACCATCTTCCTCTTCTCTCCACTTTAACTTCCTTTCCTCTTAACCAAAACAAAATACAAAACTCGCTCGCTCTCTCGCCTGTTCTTTCACTCAGTTGCCTGCCCTCTTGCCAGCCTGTTTGCTCGTCCTCTTGCTCACCAAGAGTGATGTTTGTTGGCTTTATCATCCCTCCACCTGTACAGCACAGCATTAATATATATATAAATTTAAGTAAAACTCTTTTTCTTCTTGTCTATGTTTTAGTTTCTGGGTGCTGGCTCTTCACTATGAATAGGACCCAAAAAAGACCACCACTGAATAGAGCAAATGAAACAAAAATTTCAATATACATACAGTATTTTCCTATTCAACCCCTTCAAGGTTGCGACCTCTGCTCTTAACCCTTTCAGGGTCCGTCCCGTAGATCTACGGCTTTACGTTCAGGGTCCAAACCGTAGATCTACGCCATGAGCTCAGCTCACTCTGATAAGTTGTGAGCGGTAAATTTGGGCCTAGATATGAGAGAATACATCTATGTGGTATGTGTGCACCACATAAAACAAATCCTGCAGCACACAGTGTATAACGAGAAAAAACTGAGACCATGATTTTCGATTAAAACAGCGACTTTGCAGTGTTTTTTCGTATGTTTTTTATAGTTGTATTTGAGATTTCTTGGTCTCATTTGATAGAATGGAATACATATTACAGAAGTAGAGATGATTTTGATTGGTTTTCAGTACTGAAAATGGCTTGAAACCGAGCTCAAAGTAGCGGATATGTTAAATTTTTGTCGATGATCAAAGTAAACAAACGACCTCACATCTAATACACGCCAGCTGGTGGGTCTAATATACATTAATGTGATGATGATATTTATACAATTATTACAATATTGCATAACAGTAAATGTTCTATTTTTTTGGTTTGAATAGAAATTCATTATGTGAATAAAAAATCAAAATGGAATTCATTTGTAAAGCCTGAAAACATAACTAATGAGCAGAGGAAATGTTAGTTTAGTGCCAGTAATGCCTGCATTGTTTATTCTGGACCCTATTTTGAAATTGGAATATTTTGAACTTTGTGTTAAATTGGCCAAATTACCAATTTCCAATCACTTTGTTTTGTAGTTGAAACAGTTGACTGGGCGATTTCTTGTGCTCAATCGATAAAATAGAAGTAATACTAGTGAAATAGCTAAGAATTTGGTCGACTGGAATAATGTAATTGGCCTAAAATCGGAGTCAAAGTCAGCAAAATCGCCGATTCGTAAATATCGCTGACACATCAAAATTCGCGAGAGCATAATTTCGTCAATTTTCCATCAAATTTTGTACTTTTTGTTTTATTACCTTCAGAAAAAGATGTCTCTACCATTTCATAAGAAAAAATAACAAAAATTTTTTTTTAAAATTCTTGGACACTGGTGCACCCTTTGAAATTTGGCCTTTGGACCCTGAAGGGGTTAAACTTGCTCTCCAGGTCGTAAAATTTAAAAAAAAAAAATTATTGAATGGTAGAGAATCTTCTTCTGAAGATAATAAAACAAAAAAGTACAAATATTGTTGGAAAACTGATGAAATAACGCTTTCACGAATTTTGCCATGTCAGCAATATTTACGCATTGATTTCCTCCATTTTGAGTCTGATTTTAGGCCACTGTTCCAAATTCTTAGCAATTTTGCTAGTATGTCTTCCATTTTATCGATTGAGCACAAGAAATTGCCCAATCAATTATTTCAGCTACCTAATAAAGTGATCAAAAATTGGTAATTTTGCCAATTTCACACAAATTTCAAAATAGGGTCCAGAATAAACAATGCAGGCATTCCTGACACCAAAATAACATTTTCTCTGTTCATCAGTTATATTTCCAAGCTTTGCACATGAATTACATTTTGATTTTTTATTCACACAAAAAAACAAGAGGAATTACCATTATGCAATATTGTCATAATTGTATAAACAATATCAACACATTTGTGAAAGCATATTAGACCCACCAGTCGACACGTATTGGACACGTGATGCGAATGTTTACTTTTAGACATCAGCAATTATCAAACATTTCCACTACTTTGAGCTCAATTTCAAGGTATTTTTAGTCCTAAAACCAATCAAAAATTATCTCTATTTCTTTAATATATCTTCCATTCTATCAAATGAGACCAAGAAACCAAGAATACTACCATAAAAAACATACAAAAATACACCACAAAATTGCTATTTTAAACCTAAAAACACGGTCTCAGTTCCCCCCCCCCCCATTATGCACTGCTTGCCCAAATTTACTGGTCACAGCTTATCTGAGTGAGCTGAGCCCATGGTATAGTACTATGGGACCAACACTGGCTACAAAGCCGTAGTACAATGGGACGAACCTCGAAAGGGTTAAAATCACATTTTTCTGGAAGTGCACATGTGTACAAGGAAAAAACAGTACAGCTTAACCCCTCCGTCCCTTAAAAAAAAATAAAAAAGTTCAACAAGTTGGCATGATGATTCTAGACAAAACCTGGTGTTCTTCCTCTTACCCTTCTTACCAATATATTCCTTACCTATTATTTTATGGAGAAATTTTATAGAATTATAATATTAATGTCATTAGCTTGTTATGATATTAAAAAGAACTGTTAAACCTCTGTGGGCTATATACCACATTTAATGTTATTAGAAATGCTTAAGAAATATAGGAGCATGAATTTTTAGCCAAGTGCCATAAAATAAAAACCAGCCACAGAATGTTTTCATAAACATGCCTTGTAAGATTTCCCTTTAAAGCACTAGTTTTGGAACTGGCTTGCCATAGGTTCAAATCCTGGCTCTGAAACCTACTTTCCTTTAAAGAAAACCAAACAGATTATTATTATAGTTAACCCTCTCATGAAGTAATACAACAAATGTGCTTTTGGTCAAACAATCGAAAAAGTGCAACCAAAATTGCGTGTCACATAAAAACACATTGACAGAATGCTCAGTAAAGGTGGAAGCATCAAGTTGCAAGCAAATTCCAGGTACTACGCCCTATTAAATTATTCCCCAGACCCAAGTTGGGTCCGAGGGTCAAGCGTGAAAGGCACAGCTCCTTCCCACCCTCCCTCCTGTCAGTCATGTCACCTACAGTTGTCTTCCAGGAGCATCATGGATCTTACTCTTACCATTTATCATACTACCTTGGATTTTTCATCCTTTTATCTTGTACAATGGGTAATAAAAAACTGACCTGGTCAAAAAAACACTGAACAGCTAAATAAGACAGAAAAGTTACTTAATGCATGGAAATAGGAGAAAACAAGGATAAAGGGGCCCCACTTAGTGCTTAGCTAATAAGTTACCTTTGATATACCTCTGAAGAATTTAGAGAGTATATCTACTCTCTGAGCCTGACCATAGGCCAGGCTCGTCTGGTGCTTGCCTGGTCAACCAGGCTGTTGCTGCTGGAGGCCTGCTGCCCCACATATCCATCACAGCCTGGTTGATCTGGCACCTGGTGAAGATACTTGTCTGGTTTCCTCTTGAAGGCTTCTACACTTGTTCCAGCAGTGTTTGATATCTTCTGGTAAGATGTTGAGAAGTCTGGGACCCTGGATGTTGATACAGTGTTCCCTTATTGTCCCCACCGCACCCCTGCTCCTCACTGGGTTTATTTTACACTTCCTCCCATATCTCTCACTCCAGTATGTTGTTATGGCAGTGTGCAGAGTTGGGACCAAGCCCTCAAGCACCTTCCAGATATATATCATCATGTACCTCTCTCTCCTCCACTCCAATAAGTACATGTTCAGGACTTGCAGGCGTTCCCAGTAGTTTAGGCGCTTTACTGGCTCAATGTGAGCCATAAACGATCTCTGTATTTGTTCCAGCTCACACAATACAGGTCCCAACATGTTCATAAGTTGAAAACTTCGTGTTTTATGAACATTATACACAATTCAAGAGGTCCCCAATGTGTATGTAAGTCAAGGACTTACTGTATAGTAGTGGATGCTTATAATCCTAACCCTGTGCACAGCAGGGTGGTCATGGTTTCTGTCCGTGCATAAATCAGGGAAATTGTAATTAATCTTAAGCTAATAAAGAGAACTGCTGAGACAGAAAGTGATGATCATTTTGACTATGATGAGAAAGAAAATGCATCATACTTATCAAGAATCATGACAAAGAGGAAGTAAGACATATCAGCGAGTCTAAAAAATGCTTAGAAAGCTTCAATAGTAAGTTAACACAGCCAGATACAGATGAATTGGAAAATATGAGAAACCTAATTAAAGCAATATTTACACTTCCACAAATCAAATATGAAAAATTGTGCAAGTGAAAATTCAGAAAATACAAAATTTAAACAATATCACAAACTTAGTGAAAAGAAAAGGAGTGCTGATGTTGAAAAGAAAAATATTACAAAATGTAAAAATCTGGACATCATTTCCCATATTTCTATTCATCACGTGTCTTCCGTCTTCTAACTCCTGCTCGTAAAAATTCCGAGCATTTTATCCAACTTTCCTGCCTCTGATAGAAAAAAACTCAGCCAACGGCTGTCCAACCAATGGCTGTCCAGCCATCGGTTGTCAAGCCAACGGTTGCCCAGCCATCGGTTGTCCAGTCAAGAAAGAAAGCCTGATGAAATTTATGATAAAGACTAATGAAAGAAGACATACAATTCTTATGTATAAGAGTGTATAGCCAACTAAATACTATAAAACATAGGCTTTCAAATACCATGAAATGAATTTCTAAAATTTAGCCAGTGATTTTCAAATGGAATAAACATACTAATAATAGTTACAATGAAGTAGTCAAGGTTAATGAATCATGTGGACATTTAAAAAGCCTGATTAGGAATTTTAAAAAAGATTACAAGAATATGTGTTAAGTGCACGTGACAAAGATAAAATAACAGGAGCATAAAAGAAACCCTTGGTGACCAAAAAAGTGTGAATATGTTGTGTGATGAACCACCTAGAACTGCTTTTCTCTATCGTCTAAAACCAAGAAATATCTCCGAATATGTTTTTTGTTCACTAATAAACGTATTGTAATGCAATTTGAAACTCTCAGCAACATAAGGAGTTATTTGCATGTGTTGATCACAGTAATTAATCTGTGGTACCTGAAGTAAAAGGCTATAACAGGATAAATGTATAATAATGATATTAAATACCTCGGATGAACTGAATTAGTGCACGTAATTTCCCTCTCAAAACATGAATGATGTTATTATGTTGCATGTCTAAATAATCCATGTCCCTAAAATATCCAGTCATGGAATTTGCGACTAGACTCAAATAACTAATAAGACATTCACAAAAGAAAGAAAAATACTGTACATGACAAACATTGCTAAAATTAATACACTGCTTATGACAAATATAACATTCTTTACAAAAAAAAAAAAAAAAAAAAAAAAAAAATCAGGCACATAAATTATAATTCCACAAAATTTTAGATAGCAAACACAACCACCTTATATAACTGCAGGCAATGTGTTTTTCCAAATTTTGACAAACCTGCTGTGCTAACATCTCCAACACTGCTTGACGATTTGGCAGCACGATTTGGTGCAGATAAACCAAAGTTTCCTGCTCCATTGAGGTAGTTGTTTCCTGGCTCTGAATCATCATCATCCCAGTCATCATCCCAATCATCATTATCATAACTCATCTGCACAAAATCAGTTAAAATTCAAACAAAAGTTAAGGCTACACTAAAACAAAAAAATAGCTAAGGATCAAAAGAGAACTGACAATTTTATTGAAAAAATACAGTGGAACTCCAGTTTTCGCACACTCCAGTCACTGGACAATTCGGTTTTAGAACCTTTTTTAGTGCGAAATTTTGTTTCAGATATCGGACCTTGTCCTGGACATCAGACATATCAGACGCCGCCATTCCATGTCTCAAGTCTGCCTGTGTCAGTGGTCAGTGAGCATTACTTCACGCATTCCAAAACATTTTGTAATAATCCATTTTTTTGTGCTTGTTTATTCACTGTGACTGCGAAGTAAGTCGCCATGTGCCCAAAGAAAGTTCCTAGTGCCAGCCCTTTGATAAAGAAGGCAAGAAACACAATGGAACTGAAGAAAGAGATTGTAGAAAAATACGAATGTGGTGTACGTTTAGCTGAGCTTGCCAGGATGTATGGGAAGTCGAAATAAACAATCTTATCCATCCTGGCAAAGAAAGTAGAAATCAAGGAAGCTAAAGTTGCAAAAGGGGTGAATGTGCTAACAAAACAGAGATCACAAACAGTGGAAGATATGGAGTTGTTGTTGTTGTTGGCGTGGATCAACAAAAAACAGTTAGCGGGAGACAGTTTATTTATCATTGTTCTGTGTATGTAAAACTATATTTATTCTTTAAAAAATGAATTTTTTGTGAATATTTTTGAGTGTCTGGAATGGATTAATTGTATTTACATTATTTCCTATGGGAAAAATTGATTCAGTTTTTGCACTTTTTAGTTTTAAACGACCTTCTGGAATGGATTAAGTTTGAAAACCACAGTTCCACCGTATTTAAATAGAGAAGAAGAAACGGTATCTATTTTAACACACTCATTGCTTTCTATCAAGGAAGTGATAAAGAAACAAACATTCACTATTACTTGCTCTCTAAGTTTTTCTCCAGAGCAGCACAGATGTTACAGTTCAATACAGCCTCTCCTCACTTAATGACAGAGTTCCATTCCTGAGACCACGTCATTAAACAAATTCGTCGCTCAGTGAGGAGCATACTATAATGGTAGTGAGTTTGTGTCCACCGTCTTTGATATTGTTTTAATGTCACCTTTGCACCATTTATAACATTTCTGGTATATAAACAGAATAGAGGAATTCAGCTCTAATATACATTTAGGTATGAATAATGGTCAGAGAGCCCATCATAAGTCCGAGGCGTCGGTAAACGAGTACGTCGCTAAGTGAGGAGAGGCTGCATTAATAAACTGAACCACAATATCTCCACACGACTCTCCAAATACAGAAATATATGGACCCTTTGATGGGAATTAAGAATCATCTTGTTCCTGAAGCCCAGCCTGGGCCAGGGTTGTCTGGTGCTTGCCTGGTCAACCAGACTGTCGCAGCTGACAGCCTGCTAGCCCACACACAAAACAAATATCCACTTTCAAAACAAATTTTGGCTGATACCGAAACTGACACTCAGCTTTAGGCTGATACTGACATCAAAATTAACTAATATCCACCAATACTGACACTAGTACCAATTCCTCAAAAATCAGCCATAACCTGCTGATAATACTATGGCTCACCCCTATTTACCATCATTCATTCACTGTCTTGCCAGAGATGTGCTGACATCACAGTTTAGATGATACTGACTGTAACATCCCCACCAGGGGCTACAATAGTTTTCAACAGGATCTTACAATGTTGAGTTTTGTCGTGTTATTGTTTGCATGACACTTGTGTGAGCATATCCTACAAGGGCTTCCCCTCTCCTTGCCTTGTTACTTATAAGATGTAGTAAAAACTTCAGTTTGCAGATAAAAAAAAAAAATTTAAGCATCAGGAAAGACTTTATTAACACCCCTTTTAAAACAATAAACTCATATGTATTTTACTGCATTTTTAAAATGCCAGTGTCAAGTTATTCATAATATATGGTATTATTTTCTTTGAGGCTTGGTGCATTGCTTTAGTTTAATTAGATGGAAATGACATCAAAATGGCGAAACTATGAAAATTATTCATGTCATGAATACTATTTCTTAATCCAAAACAAGCTGACTGTTAGATTAATAATTATTACCTATTTGTAGTTACAGGAGCAAAGCTATGAAAATGTGATTATGGTAACTACAGTATATTTGTAGTTACAGGTTCAAATCTACAAGTACTGTGTGTGTGTGTTATGACAAATCTATGCTTGTGCCCCAACATCACTGCATGTTTAGTTTATTGTGGTACGAGTTTCAAGTAGTTATAGCCAGATTCCTAAATGCTGATATCAGTGTACTAATGAAATCCTTAAATAACTTTTCATTCATAATTCAAAGATGTAATTAAAGCATGATGTATGTAATGAATGCAAACAAACCTGGGTACATACCAACACCTCCTTAAATATCTACCACCCCCCTCCTCCTCCTCTCCTCCTCCTCCTCCTCCTCCTCCTCCTCCTCCTCCTCCCTAAAAGAAAAACTGCAGTGCTATAATATTGCACAGTATGATCATTTCCTCACTTTAATTGCAAGATTATAATTAGCAGTAAATTGATTATTAGTGGAAGGCCTAGGGATTACATCACAGATGAATAGAAACAGAATTTTTATTTCAGGAATTTGCTTAGACAAAACTGCTTGAAAAATGAGCATGTTATTGTTCTCAAGGTTGCTTTATCCACTTTTTTCTAATGCCTTATTATAAGCCTATAACCTTTTTTAAATACAACACTAACACAATACTGTATTTGCTATTCTGTGTGTGTCATTCAGTTTGTCCTTTTTATTAAACCTTCAAACATTTTTCAAATAATTTAACTCTGTACATCGTTTAAAATTCCAGCATAATACAGTATCACCTTTCTCATATCAACATCTCCAGAAGGATAGCTAAGGACCACTGACTCAAATATTGGGCAATATCTTACAGCCAGATCAAATAAATGCATCTCTATGCTTTTATAGCCAGGGTGATAGCTGTACCCTGCTGGTACCAAAATCCACTTCACTTGGTCCAGATAGATGAAGCTCATTGTATATCCTTCTGGTAAGATGGTAAAGACACAAATGTTATCTGTTATTGGGGATGTTTTCCTCACACAATGGGCACCACAAAGTTACAAAACAATTAACTTAAAGAAGCATACTATTTCCTACAACAAATCTTCACTAAACACAAGCCATAACATTTCATCAGGGATTGCATTAGGGTATAATGGCAACTGAGGAGTAACAAACTGTTTCAGTGTATAATCACACAATTCCAGTATGGAAGAAAGGGAGGGTGGATGGAGAGCAAATGCAAATTACTGTGTCAAATACAATAGTAGTGAGGAAAGAAGGTAAAGAAATAGAGAAGGGAAATGGAAAAGGAAGAGGGTGACCCAAGTTTGATACTGATATTTAATTTCAATGTCAAAAACAAATCAAATTCTATACTAAATATTATTGTTCAGGAACACACCTCTGATTATAACATGGGTGTCTATTGGGAAAAATAACTTCAGATATCAGAACAATTGACTTAAAATACTAACAATTTTCAGAATTGTATTAACACTGAAGTGAGGTCCTACAGTACCTCATTAATGAGATTTCATTTAAATTATGTAGCAGAGTTCTGGTCTCCATACTACAGAATGGATATACAGTAACTGCACTGGAGAACCTAGAGAAAGATGACAAAATTCACTGTACAAAGAACCTTTCACATGAAGATAGACTAAGAGCTCTAAACTTACTCTTGAAAGATGTAGAAGGGGAGATATAATTTAAGAAGTCACTTAGCATGCCATCTAAATAGCTTGCTGACTTCAGTGACTTAGATACTTAGTGACTTCAGATCTCTACTAAACATGCCTATTTCAGTGTACAGTGCATTTCAGTAATACACTATTTTGATTGCAATATTTTTTGTAAGTGTATTTTAGAAGATTACAGAAAAGTGTTTTCCAAGTGTGTATTAATTTAATTAACTTTTGTAATAAAACACTGAAAACTCCACCAACCTGTTGTGATACCGGCCGCCTTTGAGCATTTACATTAAAACCCGATGTGGCTTTGTTATCCTGTGATGCATTCCAATTGTTTGACTCCAAATTTGTCCTATTTTCTACCCATTCATCACCAACATTGGCATACTCAGTGGGCAAAGGAGGTGGAGGCATCGGAGGGGGAGCAGTTGCTGTTACCTCCTGTGGGTGTAGGAAAGTTATGGTAATAGAACAATGACACAAGATATCTTATGGTTCAGTAGCACCATGTGTGAACACACATTACACAAAAAAAAACATCATCTGATAGAATGGAAAACATACTACTAAAAGAGGAATAATTTTAGTCAGTTGCCAAAATTCATGTGAACAGGTAAGGCCCCCCTACACCCCCCCGGTCTGGTTTATGGGTTTTTACTAGGTCTGATTCAATTACTGAAATGTCATAAACCATGACCAATCATTCCTGGCTATATTTTATTACCAAGAAATGGAGTAAATCTTCATTTATTTGTGTGATGAATTCAAAATGGAGGGCAAGTGTAATATAGGAGAGGCCTGGGAACATGATTAATGAACAGAGAAAATGTTGTTTTATAGCCTAGAATGCATACAGTGTTTATTTTGAACTCTGTTCTTAAATTGGAATTTTTTTAATTTTGCATAAAATTGGCCAAACTACCAACATCTGTGCACTTTATAGGATAGTGTTTGATAGCTAAATGGTTGGTTTCTAATGCTTGGTCAAGATAACGGAAAACTAGTAAAATACAGTGGAACCCCAGTACTCGAACAGCTCCCTACTCAAACAGTTTGGTAAAAAATCGCTCGGTAGTCAACCGTTTGCTCAGCACTCAACCAAACAAACACAACCTGTCAGAACTTCGCTGTACACTATTTCATGTTTCTTTGCATTTTTTGGCGTTTCTTTATATTATTTGTATAAATAAGTCACCATGAGGCCTAAGATGATTAGTGATAACAGCTAACAAAAAAGAAAATTGGTTGGGAAAAATTTGTTCGGTACTTGAATAGATCGGCACTCGAACGGCCTTCTAGAACGAATTAAGTTTGAGTACCAATGTTCTACTGTAGCTAAGGATTTGGTCTAATTGAGAAACAGAAGTTGGATAAAAAGAGGACTCAATGTTGGCAAAAACTGCAATGTGTAAACTGCACCCAGACCGCTAACTTTGCACCTGCATAATTCCCCAAGCTTTCCACCAAATTTTGCATTTTTGGTATCATTACCTTCAGAAAAGATTCTCTACCATTTCATAATTTTTTTTTTAAATGTGGACACCAAACACTTAATATTCAGGGGTCTGAACAGTGAAAAGGTTAAAGTGCCACTACACAAGGAAGGTAATGGAAATAACTCGACTGGAGCATCAAAAGTTTGCCCATTAGTCTGCTACACTGAGATCTGACTATACATACTTAATCAAGCCGGTGGGGGCCCAAACAATGAGGAAGGCCATATCAGTGGAAATATTTTCTCAACTACAAAGGTTTAAAATCTTTCCTAGAACAAGTGAGCTCAAAGAAAAAGGGCAATTTTGAAAAATATTTCCTACTCTAACAATAGACTTTTGCATAACTGCTACTTCCAGGCACCTAGACCTAATTATATAATCCTTCAATGATGACTTCTTTGTTCCACTTTACACAAGCTGAAGTTTTCTGGAGAATAAATGTCAGATGAGGTAACTATCTAATTAGCTTTTATGTCCAAAACTAGTCTTGTCCCGATTTACTGATGATTTTTAAATTGCTGTAATTCATGCTTGTTTTCTTAGACTTTGCTCAATGCAAAGTCCAGATAAATGACCATCTACTAATGGTGATCTCAACTATATTTTCACCAATCTCACTGTGCAAAATGACCTGTCCAATATGCACTTTGTTTCTGACAATTATGGTTCAATAAGTGTCGTCTTCTGTATGGAAGGAAATAACCTAGCGTATTTTAACATCTCCAGAAATCTAATGTTAAATCTATCGTGATCCTGATTCTACCTCCATTTCACCACATCTCATATCAAGTGAGCATTCCATTTTCCATATTCTTAAAGTTATACACACAACTGGTATTTGCAAACTGATTTTTGTCAGGTACTAAAGGCAATGCTACATTAGTTTCATTTCCTTCACTCTTGAAGGAATGTTTTTTTTTTTTTTCAACAAACCGACCAACTCCCACCGAGGTAGGAAGACCCAAAAGAGAAAAAACACTTTCACCACATTTTGCATCACCAAAATTACTGTACACTGACCTGCCCATCCATAAAATGCCTAACTGACCACCTAGGAGCAGCCAAAAGCCCTCAAGGGTGTCTCACAGAGTAAGAGCTGGGGGCTTAGAGACAGGAGAAAATTTTTATTGAAAAGTACTCCCACACCTTTTTATCTTACTCATCCAGACACTTAATTCCTTCAACTTTAAATATTAGGACACAAAAATTAAGCATAATATTTATACATTCTCAAACCACCTTGGATTAATGAAAAGAATACCCTTTGCTGGCAGAAATTTTAAATTTCATTAATTTATAATAACAAAACTATAATAATTGGGCAATATAAATACAAAATTTGTGCAAAGCATTTAAATTATGACTTATTAGACTACCATAGCTCAAGCTGAAAGGCAGCATTTAGAAGAGAAGTTTTTAATATTATAAATTTGAAATTGTATAGGCTTTACCAAAACAAAGAAGGATCGAGGAAGACACTGACCTCAACATATGCGGCGGGAAAGAGTCCAGCCTGACCAAAAGCATTGGAGCCTTCCCACCAGCCTTCTCCAACATCCTGCCTGGTAACAGTCAGTATCTCCCCTTCTTTGATGCTTAGTTCCCCAGTTCCAGGCTGGGATTCAAAGTCATACAATACCCGCACCTGTAGGCATACATAATAAGTCATGTAATGATCACCTTCAGAAAACTAGATAAAGACTTGTTAAATTTTACACAAAACATCACATGCAACCACCCACTTTCCTTTTTTTTTTAACACACTGGCTGTCTCCCACCGAGGTAAGGTGATCCAAAAAGGAAGAAACACTTTCACCATTATTCATTCAACCACTGTCTTGTGAGAAATATGATAACATCATATAGCAGATGATCTTTCAAACTGCAACATCCCCCCCCCTCCTACAATGTAAAGGCACTGTATTTCCCACCTCTAATTTATATGATACAATAAGAGAGAAAGCGTACCGTACATTTTGGATGTCCTGTGCTTTTGTAAAAAAAAAAACTTTTCTATCAATTCTATGTATTTAGCAATTTTAGCTCTTTGGGGGTAAATGCCCCCCAAAACAGCCATCACAGGAGTGCCTCTGCAACAGTGCCATTAATGCCCTCATCAGCCAACATGGAGTCACGCAATGGCCAAGAACTAGTTAAAATTAGAACAATTGTTCAATTTTTCTTATAATCAGAAGAGAATCGTTTTGAAGGTATAACCAAAGTACGAAATTTGGTGAAAAGTGACGAAATATGCTCTCGCGAATGTTTGAGTGTCAGCGATTTACGAATCGGCGATTTTGCCGACTTTGACTCACCAACATTAGCCAAATACATTATTCAATCAGAAAACTTCTATTTCATAGGGATATTCTATAGTCTATCATGGAAAGAACGCAGTAATGTCTTCAACTACAATAAGATGCTATTGTAATTGGCCAATAACAAGCGGAGTTCAAGCTAATAACCCCTTCTCCAGTATTATTACAAATAGGGCCAAATGAACAATTTAAATTTCCTTTTGGCCACCAAACAACACCTCTGTTTATAGTTGAGTGTTTGAAAATAAATCCATTTGATTTTACCTGGTAAGGTAATGTAAGTTTTATTAAAATTAAATAAGACAGATTACGTTATGCAATACGTAAAAGCTTTAAAAGTAACAATTGGAATGCTTTACAAGCTGCGTTATAATGAGACAGTATTTTACCTTGAAACGGCAAAATTTAAATTTGCATTTATGGATTTGAAGCTATCAGTGCTAAAACCAATGGCAGATCTTCTAGTGTACTGTGTAGTCTTCATTCTATCAAAGCAAGATCGAAGAGTACTATTAATACGAATAAAGACTGCAAGTTAGCGTATGTTATCGAAAGAAGATTATTTTTCCTCAGTAACAAGTAGGCTCAGACAAGTTATGTGTGCACAGTACCACTAGATGTTTATTTCATATCTGGCCAATTACCATCAGGTTGTAAGAGAGCTGAGTAATGGCTAACGGTTTGACCTAACGAAGCGTGATTACGGAAAGACCCTGAAAGGTAATGCCAGTTATCAGCAACATAGTAAATGGTCAGTTGAACAGTGTTATAATTGAGACACAGTGTCAACCTTGGGATATTTACTGAAGAGAATGTTTTGCCAAAGTTGGTCATCGCCATTGGAAGGGAAATGAAGAAAAAAGTGTTGAAGTGAATACAGGATAGAGCTAATTATAGATAAACAAGAAAGATAGCAGTAGAAAAGTGGGTATCAAATTGGAGGGGAGATAAGTTGAGAGTCATGGGGAAATGAACAGAATTTTGGATGGACTGTAAGCATGGTTTGAAGAAGATAAAATGTAGGAGAAGGGCTAGTACTCACCTGTAGAATTATAAGTAAGGGAAAACTTTATTTTTCCTTTTGGCAAAGGGGATAAGAGTTGTTAAAGAAGCTGTTGATATATGTAAAGTGTAGAGTTTTATTAAAAAATTAAGAGGGGAAAAAAAAATAGGTAGGTGAACAAAGGGGCTTTAGGAAAGGTAGGGGGCATGTGACCAGGTTTTTAAACAGTGAAACATATAATTGAACAGTATTTAAGATAAGGCTAAAGACGTTTTTGTGGCATTTATGGATTTGAAAAAGGCGTATGACAGGGGATAGGGGGGCAATTGGCAGATGTTGCAGGTGTAGGGTTTGTAGGGGGTAGGTTACTGAAAGCAGTGAAGAGTTTTTACGAGGATAGTGAGGCTCAAGTTAGAGTATGTAAGAAAGGGGGAGATTATTCCCAGTAAAATTTAGGCCTTAGACAAGGATGTGTGATGTCACCGTGGTTGTTTAATATATTTATAGATGGGGTTGTAAAGAAGTAAATGCTAGGGTTTTGACAAGAGCTGGAGTTAAAAGATAAAGAATCGCACATAAATTGGGAGTTTGTCACAGTTGCTCTTTGCTATGACACTGCCCCTCTTGGGAGATTCTGAAGAGAATTTGGCAGGGGTTGGGTTTGGATGAATTGGAAGGGTATGCAAAAGAAGAAAATTAAAAGGAATACGGGAAAAGGGAGCAAGGTTATGAGGAAAAACAAAAAGTTTTAGGTGATGAAAGATTGGATATCAATTGGAGGGAAGAGTATGGAGGAGGTGAATGTACTCAGATATTTGGGAGTGGACGTGTCAGCGGAGGGGTCTAATGAAAGATGAGGTGAATCATAGAATTAAAGAGGGAAAAAGGTGAGCGTGCACTTAGGAGTCTGTGGAGACAAAGAAACTTTGGGTCCTTGGAGGCAAAGGGGGAATGTATGAGAGTAAGTTTTACCAACGCTTTTATATGGGTGGAAGCATGGGTGATGAATGTTGCAGCGAGGAAAGGCTGGAGGCAGTGGAGATGTCATGTCTGAGAGCAATTTGTGGTGTGAATATAAATGCAGAGAAAATTCGTAGTTTGGAAATTAGGAGGAGGTGCGGGATTACCAAAACTGTTTGCCAGAGGGCTGAGGAAGGGTTGTTTTAGGTGGTTCGGGCATGTAGAGAGAATGGAGCAAACAGAAGACTTCAAAGTGTATCAGTCTGTAGTGGAAGGAAAAGGGGGGGTAGGGGTCGGCCTAGGAAAGGTTGGAGGAGGGGTAAAGGAGGTTTGTGTGGAGGGCTTGGACTTCCCGCAGGGATGCGTGAGCGTGTTTTTATAGGAGTGAATGGAGACAAATGGTTTTTAATACTTGACGTGCTGTTGGAGTGTGAGCAAAGTAACATTTATGAAGGGGTTCAGGGAAACCGGCAGGCCGGACTTGAGTCCTGGAGATGGGAAGTACAGTGCCTGCACTCTGAAGGAGGGGTGTTAATGTTGCAGTTTAAAAACTGTAGTGTAAAGCACCCTTCTGGCAAGACAGTGATGGAGTGAATGATGGTGAAAGTTTTTCTTTTTCGGGCCACCCTGCCTTGGTGGGAATCGGCTAGTGTGCTAATGAAAAAAATAATAAAATAATCATCATACAGGTGAAGAATTCTCCCACATACTGAATAAATCCAGAAAAATTATGCACCAAACACTAAAAAAACAAACCTAAATAATATTGTTGGATAACCTGTGAGAAACATTTAAGAAAGTTCCGGTGAAGGCTGGGATGAGAGGGCATCACAGAGGCCCTGACACAGGCACTTCTTCACTCAGTAAAGGTTATTCATTTAGTGATTTGTGATGAATGAAGCTTTTGTCTGTACTAAGTGCCAGGTGGCACTACGTGTTATTACTGACACAACCCACGCTGTCACACACTCCCATAACCCCAAACTGATTAATTACCTGTCCCTCACCACCCCACCAGGCTCACTTAACCCCCAAAATCAAGAAAAACAACCTCACAACTCCCCCAAATGACACTTCAACTCACCCTGCTGTCACTGCCTCTAAGTGCCATCCACCTGCCAATTCTCCCCTCAACTACCATCATTAACCCCTCTCACAGGTGCCAATGTGTGTCTCAAGCCTTCACTGGTCACCACACAGGGTATTTCAGGCACTGGTGCCCCACGAGAGGCGTCCTAAGAGGATATAGGAAGGAAAAACCCCGAGCTACCCACCTGCAGAGTCGCCATGTTTACTGTTGTGTCTGAGTGACGTCACGTCCGTAACACACCAATTGCTCCTTTTTTTACGCAATTTGCGTCCTTATGCACCATTTTCCATCGTCTAAAGTGGGGATATGAGAGGATGGATGCTGGATGAGGAGAGGAAATGGATGGTGATGTGTGTGTGTGTGAAGAGAGAGAGAGAGAGAGCTGTGACAACCTTGGATAGGTTTAAGTGTGTCCGTGTGAGTCACGGACCTGCTGACATCACGTACTTCCAAGACTTTGATGAATGTGTGGAAAAAGACACTTATGTACATACCATTTCCTCTTTGATGAATGTGTTTCCCAGGAGGAGGAGGATGAAGAAAGAGGAAAGATAATATTTGCTGGGATTTTTAACCTGAGGTAAAGGGAGTTAGAATCCTGGGTAACCCGGGATAGGGAAGGTTAGCCACCCAAGATAACCCGGGATAGGGAAGATTAGCCACCCAGGATAACCCGGGATAGGGAAGGTTAGCCACCCAGGATAACCCGGGATAGGGAAGGTTAGCCACCCAGGACAACCCGGGATAGGGAGGGTTAGCCACCCAGGATAACCCGGGATAGGGAAGGTTAGCCACCCAGGATAACCCGGGATAGGGAAGGTTAGCCACCCAGGACAACCCGGGATAGGGAGGGTTAGCCACCCAGGATAACCCGGGATAGGGAAGGTTAGCCACCCAGGACAACCCGGGATAGGGAGGGTTAGCCACTCAGGATAACCCGGGATAGGGAAGGTTAGCCACCCAGGATAACCCGGGATAGGGAGGGTTAGCCACCCAGGATAACCCGGGATAGGGAAGGTTAGCCACCCAGGATAACCCGGGATAGGGGGGGTTAAACCCCATCCAGGAAAACCCCCGGGAAGGGAAGGTTAGCCCCAGGATAACCCGGGAAGGGGGGGGTTAGCCACCCGGGAAACCCGGAAGGGAGGGTTCCAAATCCAGGAAAAACCCAAGAAATCATGCGTTCAATGTCTGTCTGATTTTCATTGGGGCCTTTAAATTTTGTTCCACGGGATGCCCCACACCAGTCCAAAAACCCCCCAGGTACCACTCTGCTAGGTGAACAGCAGGTGTAAGGTAACATGTTCATTGTTTCCACCCGTGCCGGGGATTGAACCACGGACAATCAGTGTGTGGGGTGAGAGCGTTGCCAACCAAACCACGGGTGCCGGAGGAAGAGGAGGAGGAGGAGAATGAAAATGAATTTAAATATTTTACTATTTAAAAAAAAAAAAAAAAAAAAAAAAAAAAAAAGGGGCCTGTCCCCTAATCTACGGGCCCGTTTTTAAATCAAGTAGATCTTGAAAACACTCATGACTCAAACCCTACCCGGGGGGGGGATAAACCCGCGGGCAGAGGCTCAAAACTCCAGGGCCCCCGTTGCCACTGGCCAGCTAGCCACTTTAAGACTCGTCCAATAGGTAAATTTTTACACCATAGGAAGGGTTTCACAGGGACCACTGTGACCACAAATGCAAGTTTTTTTTCAGACAATCTCCAGCTAGCGTGGCCGTGACGAACTCTAGCTCAAGTCCCCTCAAAGCCGTTAACATGACTCACGAAATCGTAATGACACGATTGCAAACAAACTATACCCCAGCCGGGATTGAACCCGCGATCAGAGACCGGGGACTTGAGCTAGAGTTCGTCACGTCACGGCCACGCTAGCTGGAGATTCGTCTGTAAAAACTTGCATTTGTGGTCACAGTGGTGCCTGTGCTAACCTTCCTATGGTGTAGAAATATACCTAGTTGGACGAATCTTATTGTGGCTAGCTGGTCTAGTGGCTAACGCGACGGTCTGGAGTTTTGAGACTCTCTGACCGCGGGTTCAATCCCGCCCGTGGTATGGTTTGTTTGCAATCGTGTCATTACGATTTCGTGAGTCACTCATGTACTCATCCAATCTATTATTTAAAACTACCGAAAGTTCTTGCCTCAGTGATACTACCTGGTAGTTTGTTCCACTCATCCATAATTCTAGCCAACACAGTACTCTGTACCATAAATCTAAATTTCTTCAACTTGAATCCATTGCTACGAGTCTTGTATTGCTTAGATATTTTCCTGTTTTCCATTTGTGTCAAGGACCCCCAATGGAATTAAGTCACTTTATCTGGCCTTTTTCAGGGGGGGTTATCCTAGGTAATTTACACATATGTTAAACTATGTATGATAAATGTACTTACGTGTACCTGTACCAACAGAAATAAATACGTTGATTTTTTTTCGGGTTATTCTAGTAATTTCCTATATGTATGATAACTGTACACATGTATACCTGGAGTTTACCTGGAGTTTACCTGGAGAGAGTTTCGGGGGTCAACGCCCCCGCGGCCCGGTCTGTGACCAGGCCTCCTGGTGGATCAGCGCCTGATCAACCAGGCTGTTGCTGCTGGCTGCACGCAAACCAACGTACGAGCCACAGCCCGGCTGATCAGGAACTGTCTTTAGGTGCTTGTCCAGTGCCAGCTTGAAGACTGCCAGGGGTCTGTTGGTAATCCCCCTTATGTGTGCTGGGAGGCAGTTGAACAGTCTCGGGCCCCTGACACTTATTGTATGGTCTCTTAACGTGCTAGTGACACCCCTGCTTTTCATTGGGGGGATGGTGCATCGTCTGCCAAGTCTTTTGCTTTCGTAGTGAGTGATTTTCGTGTGCAAGTTGGTACTAGTCCCTCTAGGATTTTCCAGGTGTATATAATCATGTATCTCTCCCTCCTGCGTTCCAGGGAATACAGGTTTAGAAACCTCAAGCGCTCCCAGTAATTGAGGTGTTTTATCTCCGTTATGCGCGCCGTTTAAAGTTCTCTGTACATTTCTAGGTCGGCAATTTCACCTGCCTTGAAAGGTGCTGTTAGAGTGCAGCAATATTCCAGCCTAGATAGAACAAGTGACCTGAAGAGTGTCATCATGGGCTTGGCCTCCCTAGTTTTGAAGGTTCTCATTATCCATCCTGTCATTTTTCTAGCAGATGCGATTGATACAATGTTATGGTCCTTGAAGGTGAGATCCTCCGACATAATCACTCCTAGGTCTTTGACGTTGGTGTTTCGCTCTATTTTGTGGCCAGAATTTGTTTTGTACTCTGATGAAGATTTAATTTCCTCATGTTTACCATACATACACTTCAGTCACATTCTCCCCCTAGGTCTACGCCTTCCAAAGATTGCAAATTCATTTCCTTCAGCCTGTCTGTCCAGGAACATTTCTAATATATGGAATCAACACCGTTATCCTCCTGTGTACATTTATTCTAGCCTATTTTGTACGTTCTGTAACATTAAGACCAGAACTGAGCAGCATAATTTAAACGAGGCCTAACCAAAGATATATAAAATTTTCATTTTTAATGATATAGGATTGTGTTAAAATTGAGTGCTCACGATTGGTAAGCGACTTAAACGTTCCGGGTTCGATACCCGGGGAGGAAAGGGATGAGTAGTTTTGCACCAGCTCTCAGGATAGGGTAAAATTTTGTTAGGATTAGCCATCTGAAGGAATAATTACCCAGGATTAGCTACCTGGAGAGATAATTACCCAGGATTAGCCAAATAATTTCCCAGAATTACCCACACAATAAGTGTTAGGTTGCCAAGACTGTTCAACTACCTCCCAGCAAACATAAGGGGGATTACCAACAGACCCTGGCTGTCTTCAAGGCACTGGACAGGCACCTAAAGTCAGTACCTGACCAGCCAGGCTGTGATTCGTACGTCGATTACGTGCGGCCAACAGTAAGTCAGGTTGATCAGGTCCTGATCCACCAAGAGGCCTGGCCATGGACCGGGCCACGGGGGCGTTGCTCCCCGGAACACCATCCAAGTATACCCTTTGAGGGCTAATTTCCCAGAATTAATCACTCCGGAGGGCTAACATATACTAGCATTAGCCACCCTAGAGGGCTAATCAATATCCAGGATTTCCCTTTAGAGGGAGAGTATCGATGTTCTGGTGAAGGGCTCTTGGTTCAAGGAATTGGAGCTATCCTTTCTCTTCCTGATAACCTCCCACTTACGAATTTAGCAACGATTATAATATTAATAACCCAGGAAAGCCATTCAGTTAGTCTTATTTCCATTGGTGTCCCGTAACTCGATTGGTAGCGCACTCAGTTCACACACTGAGGTCCGTGGGTCGATCCCCGGTACGGGTGGAAACATTAGAACATGTTTCCTTAAGACACCTGCTGTTCCTGTTCACCTATCAGTAAAATAGGTACCTGGGTATTAGTCTACTGGTTTGGGTCGCATCCTGGGGACAAAATTGAGTTAGGTAACATCTCACAAGGTTACAACCTGGAACTATGTAACATCTCACAAGGTTACAACCTGGAACTATGTAACATCTCACAAGGTTACAGCCTGGAACTATGTAACATCTCACAAGGTTACAACCTGGAACTATGTAACATTTCACAAGGTTACAACCTGGAACTATGTAACATCTCACAAGGTTACAGCTGGAACTATGTAACATCTCACAAGGTTACAACCTGGAACTATGTAACATCTCACAAGGTTACAACCTGGAACTATGTAACATCTCACAAGGTTACAACCTGGAACTATGTAACATCTCACAAGGTTACAGCCTGGAACTATGTAACATCTCACAAGGTTACAACCTGGAACTACGTAACATCTCACAAGGTTACAACCTGGAACTATGTAACATCTCACAAGGTTACAACCTGGAACTATGTAACATCTCACAAGGTTACAACCTGGAAACTATGTAACATCTCACAAGGTTACAACCTGGAACTACGTAACATCTCACAAGGTTACAACCTGGAACTATGTAATATCTAACAAGGTTACAACCTGGAACTATGTAACATTTCACAAGGTTACAACCTGGAACTATGTAACATCTCACAAGGTTACAACCTGGAACTATGTAACATCTCACAAGGTTACAACCTGGAACTATGTAACATCTCACAAGGTTACAACCTGGAACTACGTAACATCTCACAAGGTTACAACCTGGAACTATGTAACATCTCACAAGGTTACAACCTGGAACTATGTAACATCTCACAAGGTTACAACCTGGAACTATGTAACATCTCACAAGGTTACAACCTGGAACTATGTAACATCTCACAAGGTTACAACCTGGAACTATGTAACATCTCACAAGGTTACAACCTGGAACTATGTAACATCTCACAAGGTTACAACCTGGAACTATGT